ATCCCAGGGGGGCAGCTGCCCCCCCCTGCCCCCCCCGAGGCTACGGCCCTGATAACGGAAGAATATACTGTAAAATATGCTTGACAAAGGTTTCCATATTATCCAAGATTTATTCAGTAGTGAGGGGGATTTTTTATCATTAGAATATCTTGTTGATGACATGGGAATTCAGATACCTTTTACACTCTGTTATGGTTTAAAAGAAGCAATCTTTGGTGCTTATCCTGTGCTTAGACATCTGAATACAAATGTTATGCTGCCATTACCACACGTCCCAAGTACAATCCAAACATTATGTAAGATAAAAAAGGTTGTCGAAGAATATATAACATATACATAAAAGGACTAGGACTAAGGCCGAAATGTGAACAAAAATGGGAACAAGACCTGGGTAGTAAAATATAATGGCAACAAACATACAAAAAATGCCTTGGTTAAAGTTAAAGAAGTAAGATTAAAATTGTTCAACTATAGAATTATTCACAGAATCTTGGGCACCAAAGACTTGCTGTTTAAATGTCGTATGGTTGAGAATCCCTGCTGCAGTTTTGTAATGCTTACTGCGAAACTATAAAACATCTTTTTGTTGACTGTGAATTGGTAAAAAAATTCTGGACTGAAGTTGAACATTGGTTAAGACAAACTACAGGCTTTGTTATAAAAATCGTGCCTTTTGAATTTATTTTTGGTAGTAAGAATAGTATTAAAAACTTAATTATGCTTCATACTAAATTTTTTATATTCAGAAGTGCTAGAGAAAATTCCAAATTAACTCTTAAGTCGGAACTTAAGTCTATGTTATTGAAAGTAATTGAAGACTCAAATCAAGATGTATATAATTATTATTGTGTCAGTATTTGCTTTTCAACCAAAATTGTATTAAAACACACAGAGAACATTGTCTAGCTGTGACCAGTGAAACCTATTTGTGTAATATAATAGGAAGGTGTGTTTATGTGTGTGTGTTTATGTGTGTGTGCGTGTGTGGGTATAAGTTCAACTAAAATAGCATGTATTGGATTACCTCCGTTTGGTACACAGTTTACATTATCGCTGAATAAAAATTATTAAAAAATAAATAAAAAAAGACGGGGTTCCCATGCCTAGATCGATCTAACAGGATTGGTCCGTCTCCACGGGTTTTCTCGCTAAATTGCTTTCAGTTTAAGTGGCTTAGATGTCAGGGATGCCTACTTGAGCTGCTAAACGACAGTAACACCCTATCAGCTAAGTGGCTTAGATGTCAGGGATGCCTACTTAAGCTGCTAAACGACAGTAACACCCTATCAGCTTCAGTAGGCGTGACAGACATGTAGGACGCTAAAGAAGTTGATTGCAATTAAGCGAGAATCCCCTTGGAGATAGTTCGATCCAAAGTTAGTACCATAGGGTCTGGGAATGGCCTCTTAAGTTTGACAAAAGGAAATATCCAATTAGATGGTACATGCATGTAATGTACTCCAGTTTGAGATTAATGCATACTAGTGCATCTATGTACAGTATGGGTAATTAAGTACTGAGTCCCAACACGAGACGTCCACTGTATGTGATATACAAGAGTTTAATTACCGAGGCATACATACAGTGGACGCCGAGTAATTGTAACTGATTTATACCACGACTGGCGGTGCGAACAATAGGATGAACGCACCGAAGTTGAAAAAAGCGTGAGCCTGGTCTAAATACTCCTGACAGCACGAAGCCGCCACTGTCTGAGATGTGTAGGGGTGCAGTTATCGAGTGAAGCCGAGATGGTAACACTCTCATATCATACTGTATTTGTTGTGCCGCCTGAACGTCGTAACTCTACCTCACCGAACGCAAAGGGTGAATCTGGTGTGAATTGAAAATTTCAAAGTAAATAATTGATTCCCGTGCGTTGAAATGTACGTCGTGTCTTTTTTATGACAAATTTGCATGAGTTCATAAATTGCCTTGATTAAAACTTGCTTTTTATCCAAGGAAATGTTTTTTATACGAAGATGAATTAAATAAATGTCTAAGTGCAGATATTCAATAATTATGGACTTCGACATATGAATGTAGCCCAGGCATGGAACATCCATGTACGAAATATTGAACAATTTATATATCTTCAAAACAAAATTGTTCAAAGCTATTCTTTATTGGAAGCGTGTAAGGGTCACAACACCAACACCAAAAACAAAAACAAAACTCACAACACCAACACCAAAAACAACTTCACAACACCAACACCAAAAACAAAACTCACAACACCAACAACAAAAACAAAACTCACAACACCAACACCAAAAACAAAACTCACAACACCAAACAAAGAGCGTTTTAAACAAACCTGAGTATCATGTATACCGTATCATGGTATCATGTCTGCACTATATGACCACTCACACTTGACCCACTTCAATGGCCATTAAAGAATAATCAATCAATTGTCAAGCCTACACATGAAAGAGTAGAGGCAGTTCCAACCCTTCAAGATGTTAAGTTTGTGTCTTAGGCTACTTTTTTACACAATAAAGCTTAATTGAGATTTCGGATTCAGCTGTGCGGCTGTTGGGGCACAGTGTTTATAAAAATAAAGCTCACCAGTAATGAAGGTGTGGTCCTTGAAGAAATAATAACGTAACGTAGAACAAATTAAGAGTCAACTGTCAATTTCTGAATCTATTCCTACATATCAATCAATCCCAGCTACATTTGAGGATCGCCAATTATTCAAAAATCATGTTTTTCTCATATGATAATGTGATATTCAGGCATCATCCTCAACTACAGAAGTTGATAAACATGAATTAAACGATTTAACAGTCAGAAGCGAGGTACGTGTGACTTCTGGATGTTAAGCCCGAGAAGTGTCTCAAAGTTAATTAGCTTGCAATGGTTTAAGGCCCTTTGATTGAACAACCATATATTCTATCATATTTTAGTTTAAAGGTAAAAACTAAAATAGGATAGAAAATATGGTTACTTTGGTTGCTTTGGCAACAACAAGCACGGGGAGCATTTTAAACACAGAGGCTAGTAGCAAACTTGAGAATCATATGTATTATGTTTGCACCGGGTTACTATTCCAACTTGACCGACTTCAGTAGTCATTGAAGAACAATCAATCACTTGTCAAGGTTGCAAATTAAAGAGTAGTGGCAATTCCAACCCTTCTAGAGAAAATGGTTAATTTTAATCTTAATCAGATCACCTTTTTCACAGAAGCAGGATAGACAGCCGTGCAAAGCAGCCAAGGTAACCATATTTTCTATCCTATTTTAGTTTTTACCTCTAAACTAAAATATGAGAGAAAATATGGTTGTTCAATCAAAGGGCCTTAAACTTGACAATTGATTGTTCTTTAACGGCCACTGAAGTGGGTCAAGTAGAGTGGTTATCTAATGCAGACATGATACGGTATACATGATACTCAGGTTTGTTTAAAGCGCTCTTTGATTGGTGTTGTGAGTTTTGTTTTTGGTGTTGGTGTTGTGAGTTTTGTTTTTGGTGTTGGTGTTGTGAGTTTTGTTTTTGGTGTTGGTGTTGTGAGTTTTGTTTTTGGTGTTGGTGTTGTGACCCTTACACGCTTCCATAATTCTTAACTTTCAGGTCTATGTTGATATCAAATACATAGAACATTTTAAATCTCACTTAAAGAACCTCGATATTCTGTCATAGAATTTGTCCATTGCAAAAGACAACGGAAACAAAAATATTTGCATATTTTTAACACATTCTTTATCTAAAATAGTTTTTAAATGGGATTTAAATAATAAGAATTGACAGAATCCACTGAAAAAAAAATAAACGCACTAAATGATGATGATAGAAGCTACCGTTTATACTCTTTCACAGCCGTCACTATTTTCACTATTTTCATCACCCAATGGCTAATAAACCACCCAGCCGTGTTAAGGAAATCTTATAAACATGAATTTATGTGTGCGGAACTAATCGTAAGTAATAGGCTATTTTTGCAAATTCTTTATTAGTGCAATTAATAGACAGACCTTATATTGTTTACATTGTAAATGTACGAGCTTCTCCAAGCAGGCTATCTGGGGCAACATTTAAAGGGCAATCGCCAAGAAAAAGTAGGATGTAAGGGAGCCTCTACACTTTCAGCTGTGGCTTAAATTTCCGAAATTTGAATGACAATATTATTTATTAACCCTACACGCGGGATATGTTCGATACCAGGTACATTTGAGTTGAGCGTTAACATCCGCAGTCATATCGCATCTCAACTACACACAATAAAATGAACTAAAAAAGATGACAACTGTTTGGCATATGCTGATCTTTATTAAAAACACAATCACTCCATTCCAATACTTTTAAGTTTTAAAAAAAATCATCCACGATCTTATTGCTAAAGAAACAGTACTGGGGATTTTGGCAAGAAAAATATAATTCACGATTTTTTTGTGTGTCCCCAATTTTTTTTTAAATGACCATTCATTACTCTAACATAACCTTAATAAAATTTTGCTTATATGTACATTAAGAGACTTCTTTTTGTCTTTACTGGACTTTTGTCGCCTGGTTGATAACATTCACTCACTCTTTTTTTTTCCACTTCACATAAAATTGCCATATTAAAGTAGTAGTACTTTCGTTTTGTATCTAGTATACTGCCTCTTTACTGTAACTTGAATAGAAAATAGAGGGAATTGTCTAATACCACAAAATTAAGTAGATTAATGTAATGAGTCGTTATCTCTATACGTAAAAACCATCACACTGGTATATAATAACACATGAAATCATATTTCCGCTTATCATGGATGACGTCAAGGTTGTTTCAGCTAGTCGCAAGGCAATACAAGCCCAGGAACTGGCCCATCCAACATATAGCTAACGTGTCAAAAAACTTGTTTGTTTAATAAAGGTTCATTTTAGGCTCTACATGTAGGCTTGTCGTGGATACAAAATAGCTGCGCAACATATGGTAAGGGCTACACAAAACTACAAAAAAAAAAAGCATTAAGCATGTGCCAAAAAAAGGTTATTTCTACAATTACATCGATTTTATGTGAATACAAATTTAAAGTTTGTTTGGTTAAGATAATCTGAAAAGACTCAAGCTCTAGAAATCTGGAATGAATATGGTAAGTTCATGCCCTTCTACAACAGCAGGGTAGCAATTGCCGATAAGATCAGGAAGGACGCACTCCATACTGGCGCGTTACTGCCCGAAGTGAAAGGTGTGCTTTCCTTGCTGTTGCATTGGTTCCCGTTACAGGTGCAGTACTCCATGTCGACCCGGAAGTCCCCGAGTCCTATTGCCTTCAGTGAATCGAGAGGGATTAACTGAGTGATGGCCGGATCTTCCTGCGTCAGTTTCACGCATTTTTCCTCCGTTTCTAATCCGACGCATCCGCGTTCGGCCATTTTCATGGTCACGGACGTGCCACTCTAAAATAAAAGAGAATATCGAAGATTAGGAAATAGGTTGTTCACAGCACATTGTACTTTCCCTGTAAGATGGTCACCATGAGAGTCAGAGAAACTCGTGTTATTAAACAATTCACTGGTACAAACAATACTGGAAAAGTACATAGTCAAACACTTGATATACGGGGTGGGGAGTTGGGGGTCTTGTCACGTTCAGATATCATGCTCATTTGAACACGTCTTAACACATTGGATTTTTAAAATTACAATGATGTTCTAATATTCCTTTTCTTTTTCAGATGTAATATCAAAATAACTTCAGTCTTTCAAAGATGGGTCGCTCGCCCAGAAAGTATGCAACAACATTTATTAATTTGTGCGTTCAAGTTTTGCCAGTTGTAACTCGTTGGCAATAAATCCAAAACTTCGACCTCTAGAAATCAGCCGTCTCTGGTTTTGAACACCCATCATTTCCCGCCAGCCTCCTCTTTATAAACATCCGTAATAACCCGTAGCTCTCCTGATGTTACTAGTATTCCACTCAGTGTTATCAACTGTGGGCTATGTTCTAGGGATGACAATACTTACCACACTCATAGTGACAGTTGATCCGGTATTTAAACAAGAACCTTCGCAGGACATTGTGGGAGTCTCCGATCCTTTGTCCAGACACTCGGGTACGCTGGTTGCTGGGGTGATTTGATCGAGGGACTTCTGCAACTGGCTGTCGGATGTTTCGTATTTCTCGTAAATGCACACGTGACACTGGGTAGTCGGGGCTGTAAAAAGACAACCAAGGTTTCCGGTTTTAAATGGAAATCGCATTCAAACCACGTTAGCTTTTTAATTTATAATAAGTCAATCAATTCAAGCTCTGCTGGTTTGACGACAATTTGTTCAGATAATCTAAATATGTTGAAATAAACGCGACCACGCCAGTGATTTTACCACCAACTGGAAAAAAAGGGACACCAACTCCAGTGTTGTGCTTGACATGCTCTACAAAATGCAGTAAACAAATGTTCTCAATATTATTGTTGAAAAATATAATTTAAAACAAAATCATGCGGGAAAGTAAAAGTTAATATCCAAATTTGTGAAGTATTTTTCATGGCCAAAAGTAGGTCAAAGGTCAATATCAAGATCACAGTAGGATTGTAAGTATATAACGTCCTTTCAAGTTCAATAGTAATTTTGGGCATATCTCTTCTAGTTTAAGATGTACATGTATAAGGGTTAGAAAAGTTGCAAAGTTCAGTTCATGGTGAAAAGTCGGTCAAAGGTCAATTTCGAGGTCACAGATTTTCAGTATACGACGTCCTATTCAAGTTCAATAGTAACTATGGGCGTATCCCTGCAAGTTTTGGGAATATAAGGGATAGAAAATTTGCAAAGATCATTTTATGGTGAAAAGTAGGCCAAATGTCAATTTCAAGGTCACAGTTATATTGCCAGTATATGACTTGCTATTCAAGTTCAATAGTAACTTTGGGCCTATCTCTGCCAGTTTTGGAGATATAAGGGATAGATAGCTGAAACGTGCAGTTCACGATGAAAAGCGCACACGCTGCTGGTACTAATTATTCTAGCGCCCGGATCCAAAGCCGGTATGACGTCACAGGTAATACTTGTGACGTCTTTTTAAAAATATTTTAAAATTCACACGCGCACATGTACTTCAATACCCATTTTCCAGTCGTTTAACTTTGGTAATTATAGCAAGTGCATTCAAAAGCACACTAAGGGTGAGGTTGTCGACGTTACCTTTGGGAAGTGCAGGAAGAGACGAAACATCCTGTGTACAGCTGTCGCTATTGCAAAAACACATCTTCCCAGAGACCTCCTGCCCCATGGTCAGACCGCCTCCCAGAACAGCCTGGAGATTCTGTGCGTCGTTCGAACTTATAGTTTTGCATCCTTCATTCACGCTCTTTGAAGGATTGCAACTTCGAATCACAACACCAATGCTCATGGAGTAGGAGTATTGCTGCAACCAAGACCATTGCTTATGCGCAGTGAACAAATAGAACTATCACAAATTCAAGAATTTGGTATTCGTTTAACTGATACATGGAATGCAAGAAAGGCTTTGCCCCTTCGACATATACTAACCAACAAACACTTACTATCTAAAAACTCACATCTCAAGGTATATCTAAGGTATTTCTGGTTACAACTTACCTCTATCTTGGTCGTTGTGTTGACTTCCGCAAACTCACAGGAACCGTCGCAGCTAATTGTCTTTGTGACAGAGGTGGGGTTCTTGGCGCACTCAGCGTCCATCGTACTTGCATACATGTTTTGGATAAGGCTCTGTACATCCGCACCACCACCACCTGTAGCGGTAATATACATACACTGTGTGCACTCCAGTGTCTCCCCTGTAAATAATAATAATAATAATAATAATAATAATAATAACAAAACTTTGAGAAGTTATGGTTTCTGTCACATACTCTTTGCATGGAATAGCTCCAGCATGTTATGAATTACTCTATCTAAAATGCTGAAATAGTTTGATGACTGGAAATAATTTTTAAAGTTCTCTGTGATAATTGCCGCAAATCTCTACTGTAGCTGGCTGTAGCATTGTCCAATAAACAATTAATGGTCAAGTTGCAAAAGTGGACTGAAACTCCTTGTGTAATGCAAAATAGTTGGTTAGCATGACAGGCTACATGAATAATAATATAGTTAACTATTTACTGGTATTTGCAGTTACAAGACAATTTTGCCCTGCAAATTTAAAGGTTGCAACTCTTCCACCTGGAGCCCGAAGGAGAACTTTAATGGATGTCGTGTTTTGCGTGAAAACGAAGGGACATTGCTGTTGGAATCCGAGCCGAGCCGAGATTTAATTACTGTGCCCCTGCAGGGACGACGTGTGGGCAGACGTGTGAGAGGCAGAAAGACCATTACAGAATTAAGAAGTCTTCCTTTCATGCAGGTTCGCCATATTTAGGCCGCGGACCAGCTAGCACTCGGCTCTTCTCATTCTGAATGGTCTCTTAAACTAACAAATTCATACAATCTATCCTGTCTTCCGTCCGTTTCCAATGAAAAGAAACGTAACCAGTACCATTTGATTTCTATACTATATACACCGTTCATGAATGTTTCAAATGCACCACTTGAATCCTGACTTGGAGATACTGATAGCAAGATGCGGGCATGAAATAGAACCGAAGTAAAATCCGTACAATTACTGCGTCTCCAGTCGACTGCAGCGATTACTACTTTTGCTTACCCTCTACCAGGGCCACAGACTGACTTTTCACATGATATTTACAGATATGTATTTAGATAAATATGTGGTCATTTTACTATCTCTGATTTTTCAATTTTCCCCTACGATCTGCCACCTTGGTAGAGGGTAACTCTTGCTGGGCGTTTTGTTTAAACTAGGAGTGGGTGTTAAAATCACTGCCCCGTGTTAGTTTGTTATTTACCTTAAACAAAATACCGCAGTAGGTAGACTTTTAATGTAACCAGTTAAGCATGTTTGATAGGTAATGCATTCCAGGACGTCACGAATACCTTGCTACCCTCTTTGTAATTTGTGAAAAGGCCGGTGTATTATTCGCGCAAAAAAATTGTTTTCTTAGTGTGTTTATGTATGTATCCTGCAACGCATCGCAACTTTTCTTTACCCGTTCAGATCAACTAAGTCCAAATAAAGGTATATGAAGCACACGTTCTTTTAGAAACCACTTTGCGAGTTTTAGCAACTGGTGATAGCTGCAAGTCGTAAAGAGGTTTTTTGTTCAGTGTGACCGTAACTGCACAGGCCTTGAGAGCTCAAAGAGACCAAGCACTGAATCAAAATACCATTAATGGATATGTGAAGATTAATAAGGATTAAAACTTATTCAAATTAATAATTTTTTTATGATTGCAGTGCTGGTTGCAATACCAAGATGATATTAAGCTATAGTAAGGTTTGTATTTTCACATTAGTAAAATGAACAAAATGCTATAAAAAACTGAGCCGACTCCCACGTATTACAGCAGCCAACACGTTCCCTGCTCTTTGTGAAGGTGTCACTTTACTAGAACATTTTTTTTGTATCCTGAGATTGGGATTGATGTGAAAGCAGCTACCGTCAAAAGTTTGCAATATGTATGATCTGTGCGACCTTGTGGTTATCAATAGGCAATCGATTGCTTGCAAACGGTTTTTGATTATCAAGTGTTTGCTGACAGTGAATCGCTCGGCAAACAGGTAATCTATATCTTGAAGATGGTCTTCAGAGGTTACGTTACCAAACTGCTACCCTCTACCAGGGCCACAGATTGATTTTTCACTAGATATTAAGAGATATAGTATGTCTGTGGATAAATAGATGACTAATCTCTGTACTGTCGCCTCAGTAAAAATGTCCACGGAATAAAAACTGCGGCCCTGGTAGAGGGTACCATACTGCATCCTTGCTGCAACCGTTGCGCGACAAAATATATGCTAAAGCTTCCTATTAGGCTCGCAAAGTGATCGCAAGCGACCGCCAGATTTTGTGGTTGCTAAAAGGTTGCCAAAAGGTTGCAAACACTGTGTGACCCAGTCTTTACATATAACTGTACAGCACTCGTAGCGAGGCCCCGCCGTTCTTCTATCTAGTAAATTATCTGTAGTTGTGTCTGCATACTAAAATAACGCAAATATTGGTCTAAGAGTGCACTCCAAGAGATTTAGATCGACCCAGAGATTAAGATTTAGATCGACCTAACTCCCCGGGGGTTCACGCTAAATTGCAGTTAGCCGAGCGCGCACCATATTTAATTACCCCCTTACAGCTTTTAGTGGGCGGGACAGACGCTTAAGCCGACTAAGCTGACAGTAATCTAGTGAGACTCCCCACAGGGATAGATCGATCTGAAATCCATGGTTATGGGGTCTAAGATAACATCAGTTAGAACGCTTTTATGAAACGCTGATATAAATTCGAACTGTTGAACAAAAATAATCTACAGACCAAAATTTAAGTCGACTTTGATGCAAGATAAATCAATGGTAGCAAGGACACTTGATGGGATCGTTATTGCGTTCGATTTTGAACATGAAAGACTTTCTGTACAAGTTACAACACGAGTCGTCCACTGTATGCTGCATACTAAACTATACTTGTACAAGAGCAAAGTTATATCGAGACGCAAGATGCAAGAAGCTGTGAAAAGGCCACGCTCTCTGGACTTAAACTATGATCCTTTCTCTTCTAAATAACAAAGCTGTCTTAGCCTGAAGACAGGCAACACTAAATGAAATAAAATGGCCTGGACGACACTATATGGTACTATATGGGATGTGCACTGTATATAGAAAACCAACAGGGCTGCGCGCTGACTTAAAAACGTGCTTGAATGCAACTTATTGGCGCAGAAACTCAATATTTTTCGCCTTACCCAACTCGATACCTCCCAACAGAAACATCAGAACAGTAATCGCCAGCATCATGGAACCAATTGGTGCAGTGTAGTTTCAGAGACGGTCAGCTGATGAACTGGTACGCCACTTAGCGTCTGCGCAGTTTAAGCCCAATTCCACATAGAGGGGTGCAAGCTATGCCGATACTTACCAGAATCAGCAAGTGCAATACATTCTACACTCAGAATATGGCTGTTGTTTAGAAATTCAAAGCCATTTTTGTTAGATTTGAACAAAAATATACGTGTGCAGAAATACATGTTTGACTTGTTAATTTGCATGACAGGACAACACCCCTCCCTAAAATGCACCAAACGGCGTGCCATCTAAATCAATGACTAACGATACGAGTACAAACGTGAAAACGAAAGTATATTGATTTAACGTGTAAATACAAATCACCCCACGTTCAAGTCGTAAAATGTCTACTAAATAACAAAAAATTGAGAAAACAGCAATAAGAAGTAAGTTTCAAACGTAAACATCCAGCCTGTTGACTCAAACTGGTGGGAATGTTTGTCGTATCACAAAGAAAATTCAGCCCCCAAAAGTTTGGAGTAAGACTGGGTTCCCATACCTAGATCGATGTAACAGGTTCGGTCCGTCTCCACGGGGTTTCTCTCTACATTGCTTTCAGTTTAAGTGGCTTAGATGTCAGGGATGCCTACTTAAGCTGCTAAACGATAGTTACACTCTATCAACTTCAGTAGGCGTGACAGACATCTAAGCCGCCAAAGTAGTTAATTGCAGTTAAGCGAGAATCCCCTTGGAGATAGTTCGATCCAAAGTTGGTACGATAGGGTCTGGGGATGGTCTCTAGATTTTAACATAAGAAAATCTCCAATTAAAAAGTACAAGCATGTAATGTACTCCAGTTTGAGATTAATGCATAGTAGTGCATCAATGTACATATCAATCATGAGTCTTCAATCATGCATTTCACTAGATGTAGATTAAAAATATACTAAACAGGCTTCTCTAATTATGGTGACTTAATTCGACCTCATATGCTCATTAAAAGTTTCGACCTCATATGCTCATTAAATATTTTTCACATCAGTGTTATCAATCGAAAGGAAAGTGTCCCTGATAATCTGTCATTGAATTGTACAACATAATGTCAACAATGTTTTGCATTTGATGTTTATTTTTATTCATACAAAATGTGCAGTTTTCCTCTATGTTTAAGCAAATGATTACAGAAATAAAGATCAATTCATGTACTGTTACATGTACTTCCTAATGAAGTACAAGAATGCTGAAAAAATATCTGACAGCTTCATAATGTAGAGATAAGCCATATCTGACAGCAATATTTCAAGCCACTGCTGCATACATTTTTCCTTGAGTCCATAAGGGTCGATCCCGATGATCAGCTCAAATTTCTCCTTATAACTATCCTTTATGAAAAAAAGTTGCTTCTATGAAAGGTTGAACTTATGATGACACATTAAACTCTCTCAAACTATAACTGCTATTACCCAATGAACAAGAAAAATTAAGTACAAGATAATTTAACTATAGCTTCTGACAACTCCATGATGTTGGGATAAGTCACATTTGGCAGGATTTCACGATTAGACTGTCTTGAGTTCATTTGGGTCGATCCCGCTGATCAGCTGAAGTTTCCACTTGTATATATCCTTTTAACTTTGGTGTACTTGATCGCGATATGAAGTTTACTTTATTTTATTTGGTTCACCTATATTAACGCTACTATTCCCCGTCCCGTCGTTCTTTCCCTCCAACATGGCCGAGGGACTATAGCTACGGAGCAAATATGACGTCACTGAAATGGGCCAATAGCACTAACGTTTATCAGAAAACTTGCCCATACTTGCCTAGACTTGGATACAAAATAGCTGCACAACAGACGGTTAGTGGTACACAAAACTATAAAAGAGCATTAAACGCGTCTAAGAAAGGCTATTTCTACAATAACATTAATTTCATGTGACTATAAAAATTGAAAGTTTGCTTGGTTACGATCATCTGAAAAGAACTCTGGAACTCTAGAACTCTGGAATGAACATGGTAAGTTCATGCCCCTCTACAACAGCAGGGCAGCAATGGCCGATAAGATCAGGAAGGACGCACTCCATACTGGCGCGTTACTGCCCGAAGTGAAAGGTGTGCTTTTCAAGCTGTTGCATTCGTTCCCGTTACAGGTGCAGTACTCCATGTCGATCCCGAAGTCCCCGAGTCCCATTGCCTTCAGTGAATCGAGAGGGAATAGCTGAGTAATGGCCGGATCCTCCTGCGTCAGTTTCACGCATTTTTTCTCCGTTTCTATTCCGGCGCATCCGCGTTGGGCCATTTTCATAGTTACGGACGTGTCTCTCTGAAATTAAAGAGAATATCGAAGATTAGCCTATAAGAAATAGCTTGTTCACAGCACATTGTTCTTTCCCTGTATTATGTACCCTCTACCAGGGCCGCAGCTATAACCCTGTGGACATTTTTGCTGAGGCGACCCTGTAACGTTTGGACAGATGTGAGCAATTAAAAATGCACGCGTACAGATGGCATTGTACCTGCTCTGCAGGAGCTCAGTGAGAGCTATGCTTCACGTCGATGTGATTATCGCTTGTTACGCAACCTGCCTTGTGTTTTCTGTCTGCTAAGGGGTTGTGTTTATTGTCACAGATGAGCAATTGACTGTCTTGATTACTCCCAAGGGGACCTGGCAGGGAC